TACTCTTACTCTTTCTCTCCTCATCCTCCACTTCTTACATGTACTCTTCCTCCTCTCCTTCTCAGATTGTTTCCATCTATTGTTTGTATCATCGTTCAGTCTCCTGTGCCACTTGTGCACTCTGACCCGGCTCATATTTTGTACAGTTGGTTTGATCACATCATTAGAAACAAGTGTGAACAATTTTGAATCGTTGTGTGTAAACGATGACAACTGTGCTTTAGTTGTGTTTAACTTTTGCCACTTGTGTTTAGCATTTTGCAGCACAAATGCATCACAGTGTGATAAGTGTTTAAGTGAATGAGAATGTGTTTAGAGTTTTGCAAAAAGAGTGCATGAGATTTGCAAATAGAGCCTAACTGCCTGAACATGTTTAAGGTTTAGCAGAAAGAGTGCTTTATTCGACAAATTAGTTCAGAGATTGGGGTTTAGTGTTTTAGCAATTCAGGAAAAACTGTAATGGCAACATTTGGAAAACATATTCTTAGAACATATTTTTGTGAGCTGGGACGTTTATGTGAGAAACCGTTTTTAACAGAGATATCAGTTTTGTTTAATTGAAATGTAACTTTTTGTCTTATAAAATGACAAGAAAAGCCTCCAAACGTTTTCTAGAAGTTCTGAAAATCCTTTACGTAATTTGCTGTTCCTGGTCAATGACCGGCCTATAAGAAATTGCTTATAAATCTCTCATTATGCTCTATTATCACCAAATCTTGAATTCAATCTTTTTATCAACTTGTTTTCTTTCAATCAGCACAGGTTTTGTGTTTCATTTTGGAACTTATTGATCATAGGTCTCATTGATCTGAGCTTATGAACCAGTTTTGGAGTGAAAATTATCTAGAAATAATGCATTTTTCACTCAATAACTAAGGTGCATGAGCTCAGATCAATGAGGCCTGCAATCAATCAGTTCCAAAATGAAACACAAACCCTGTACTAATCGAAAGAAAACCATTTGATAAAAAGATTGAATCCAAGATTTGATGATAATAGAGCATAATGAAAGATTTATAAGCGATTTTTTGTAGGCTGGTCATTTTTGACACCACAAGTGTAACAAGGTGGGGGGGGGGGGGAATCCCAAAAAAGCAAAAAAAT